TAGTAAACGTAAAGTATAATTACTATAAAGTAACTATATAGTTACTTTATAGTTACTTTATAGCTAATTACAAGTAGTATTAAAGTTGCAAATTTGCAAGTTTTAGTAAAGAAAGTTATATATATATAATTTTTATGCCTAAGCACAGGCTAAAGTGCAATTAGTTTGAGTTTTATGTAATAGTTAAATATCTTAGTTAGTAGGTACCAATTTTTAGATAAGCTTTTTAATTTTATATTTGTATTTTAGATTTTTTATATTAATTTAGCTATTTTTTTTTGGTTTGTTTTAAAATATCCCTCTTCTTATATTTCTTTTATTCTATTTTGCTCTTTGAATTTTTTTTGCTAAAAAATATCTTTTCAGATTAGTGATATATTATATAGAGTAGTGATCTTAACAAGGTTGGTGACTATTTACTAAGACTTAAATCTTTAATAAATTAAGAATTTTGGATGAAATAAATTGGCTACTTAGATGGATCATATCTGGGTCTTTTTTGTAGAATCTATTTTTAGATTTTGTTTTAATAGCTACGTAATTTTTTATTAGCATAGGCATATGTAGTCTGATAAAATAAAAGTCTCTATTTGTATATTTGTATACTTATTATATTTTATGCTGATTTATATAATAAGAAAGAATTGCTAGAAAAAAACAAAAAACTAATTTATTTAATAATATATAATTTTTATAAGCTCAACACAGGCTTATAACTATAAGTATTAAAATAGACAAAATTTTTTTTGTTACTTTTTTACCTCTTTTTTTTCTTATTTATATACTGTATTTTACTATAATTCTTTATATCTTTGTGTTTTTTTAATATTTAATTTTTCTATATTTTTTTGTATTTTGTATTTTGATAAGTAGGTAGCTACTAGCTAATAAACAAAGAAAAAAATTTTAGCAAGTTAAAAACCCAAAAGAAGGCCAAGTGCTATTAAGTCAGGTCATATCTAATATATTGTAGACAAGTTTTTGTTATAGCTAAATTCATAAAATAGCTATAATAAAATTCATTAAATTTTTTGAATAGTTCTAGAATTTTAAATAAACAAGAGCAAGATTGCCAAATTACAAAATAAATTTTATATTTGTTTAATATAAAATAATAAATAATATTAATTTTTTTTAAAAAAAAAACAAATCTTTATTTTTATTAAAAATTCTATAAAAACCCAAAGTAATATATAGAACAAAAATAGTATTTAAAATATTATAAAAGCTCAAGTTTAAATTGATTATTTTAGGGTGTGGTGACTTATTGAAGTGGTCAAGTTGTCGCACCCCCAAGCAGTTGAGTATTGGTTCAATTCCCATGGAAAGCGAAAATTGGATTTTAAGAAAAACAGAATTCGGTAACTAACGCTGTGGCCAGAAAAACTCAAGATCCTGTAACTGTGGTCATACCAATTATGGTTTGCCAGAAACTGGAAGATCCTGAGGCATTTGTGTAATATAAGGAGTTATATAAAGGTATGCAAGCCAGTTTAGTTGGTGCAAACCCAAGATAAGTCCTTCGGAATCGCAGAAAGCCACAAGACCGATATGGCGGTAGGGCACTCACTTGGGAAGTCCCGAATAGAGAGGTAGCACAGATATTTGATGGTACTACATACAAATTGATACTTGGAGAACCAGTAAAAACTGAATGGGACCAAAGTGCTTGACAAGACACTTCACCAACCAAACCGCCGGAGGGTAGCCGGAGGAAAAGGACCCAACCATGGGGACCAGGGGCAGGTCACAGCCCTTCCGGACCATCTGGATTGGTAGTTTGGGATAGCTGAGGATACTAGTAAATAGTCTGTAAGTGTGTACCGGGGTTTGGATAAACTCTATAAGGGCAGAAGTAGGTTGTGTAGCGGTGATCAGGAAACTGGGCCGCAAGTGGTGGACCTCAGTTCATGTGTATCAACTGAAGCCTAGGTCAGCCAGATTGTGGGTACGGAAGGCTCTAGCAGGTTTATCCTGAGAATAAAATTGTTCTAAAATAGTTACTTAAAATGATATTGTAGTGAGATTATGTATATAGAAATATATATATGACAGATGTAGATCATCTAGTTGTAAAAATAGTCCATACAATAATAAAAGTACTTGACTAAAAGGGTCACCTTAACACCAAAAAAAAAAATAAAAATTAAATTGATTATTTTATTCTTAATTCTATATTATTTTCAAAATTTTTTCTAATTTGAATATCAAATATATATAATAAATCCATTGCCAAAAAAAATAACCTTTCCAAAAACCATTTAAAAATGTCTATGCCTCAGTGTATCACACCTTAGAACTTTGTTAACAACAACCCATGACAAAACTAAATATGTTCTTTAACTTTAATTTAGATCTTGAGTCTTCAACTTGCGTTTAATAAAAACTTTACCACATCGAAATTTACATGAATTTAATAAAAACTTATTTTTCATTTTGGGGGTAGTTTCCGCTCTTTTTACTACAAAGCCCCCATTTTTATCTACAATACTTGTTCTATAGATAATTCATTATAATGTCGACACATTCAATACTATTCTTTTCGTTTCCTGGTAATAGCATTAATAATGATAATTTTTTTTATTATGTAATTTGATTGGTTAATTATCACGGGTAGACAAAGACGAATTTCTTCCTAGCCTTAGCCGGCTTCATCACTACTATTCACTTTGAAAACGTTACACAACAATGCTTATCGTTTTTTTTTTTTTTTACTTACTAGGCAGTTTTTTATTCATGTAAAATAAAACATAAAGTACAAGCATGGCCAACAGGAGTTTTCGGATTGTAACTTATAGTTCAAAATTTTGAACTATTTTGGCAGATTTAATAATAGCCGATCAAGCCGCTTATCCGTAGATTTTTAATCGACTACAATCACTATTGCTTGACTTTTTTATTCGGATTCAATTCATTTTCTCCTCCATATTCATCAGTATCAGCCTTTATTTCTGCCCTCCGTTTCTTTTCTTCTTCTTGTATCGGTGTCTCAGTCGTCGCATTATTTTTGGAAGCATCAGTCGCATTGCTATTAGTCGTCTTCCTTTTAATAAGTGATGTCAAATCGTTCACAGGAGTTGTTGACGATGTCTCTATCGAACTAGATGATGGTTCACATGAAGAAAGCAGTTTCACATATTCCTCAAGTGCAATATCACTGGGTTTCTGTATTGTTGGTTCTTGAGAAAGTTTTGCTGCCTGAATGTCTGCAATCTTTAAATAACAATTATTTGATTATTTAGAAAATTAACACCAGATAATAATAACCAATTAATAATATATACTTTTGATTCCATTTCCACAAGGAACTCATCAATGTCCTTTATTTCTTTGTCAATTAGTACAGTATCATCGTCATCCGTAGCTATTTTTTTTCCTTTACCACTCGTTTCCTGATAATCATTCAATCGTGCTTGCAGAATTTCCTTACGCTTATTCAATACTTCTATGGCTTTTTGTACATGTACAATTGCTTCATCTTGATTGGATTTATCTGGAATCAATTCAAGTGCCAAAGACAATCTCCAGTGAGTATTATAAAGAGTTAAGGTCTACTTTCATGATAAAAGTAAATAATTTGAATTTTGGAATAAATATGTATTAATAAAGGATATGCCTCTGCTATTTGCCGGTCGCCTTCAGGAAGTGTATCTGTTTTTAGCTTGGCACCTTCGCTATAATCAATCGCCGCTTGATCGAACTTTTCTATAAATATATTACATGAAATGGATTAAATCATTTATATCATTTATCAAGAGCTTAAAAAGTAATAGGATTGCATTAATGTTTAAAATCTATTAACTCAGAGATAAGGCAATACTTTTAAAAATTCACCAACATTTCATTCTTTACGATGGGCACCATCAATTTTTGAAATATTGCTTTATCTCGTGTTAATAGATTTTAAAACTTAAAACAATTTGATGACAAGATTTTTATCACTATATATGAAGTAAAAATAAAGAAAGGTCGTTACCATTTTCAAGAGAAATATCGCCCAATTTAATATATACTTCTCCAAGAGACCTCTTTGCAGATTCTGTTTGAATATGAGAAAATATATCACGGGAATATTCTAATATTTCCCATGCAAGGCTGAGATCATCTCCTTGTTCTTCTAATAGTTCGGATGCACTCGCTTCCTCAGCTTGGGAATCGATATTACCACCATTTTCAGGTTGACTACTATCACTTTCATCATCCCCTTCGAAATAAAAACGCGAGGTGTTGGCCTGAAGATCATCTTCAAACAATATGTTTAAATTAATAAAAGTAATTAATAGATATGTAAAAAAGATAATTTCTTTAGTACCTGTCGGAATGTCTGTTGCAGAAGTTTGTGGAATTGCTTGATGTCCAAGAACAGTATTTTGAGTTCGAGAGTTTTCAAGTAGTGCATTACCATACTTGTATAGGGCTTCGGCGTATTCTTCCGAATCAACACCATAACATTGACCACTGAGAAGTGAAATCAAAATACAAACTATAAAAAATTATCATAGAAGGAAGAAAGGTGTGACAAGTAGCGTGAAAATAGGTATAATCTGTTCCTTTTACGCGTTTATCGCATATTGGGACTTATTATACGCGTTGACACTTACATTATTTCGGAAGCATCTGAAAACTTGGAAACCGCACTTTCATAATCTTGTAAAAGAAAGTCCTTGGTAGCTTCCTCTGTTAGAACTTGGATAGTCGTAAGATCAGCAGCATGGATTGCTGGAGAAGATTCTTGAGCAGGCAGTTCTGCATTCTCGGCTGGACGTGTCGAACTACCACTCATTTTTGCTTAGTTTAATCGCCACGGACAAGACAAAAATGTTTAATAATATTTGATTGAAAAAAGAAAACAATTTGAATTTTGTGTAAAACGGACAACCAATCAATGCAAAAATGAGAGATTGTACCCGACGCGGGACTCGAACCCGCAATCCCCAGATATCAACAACTTAGAAGTCTGGTGCGTTATCCGATTACGCCAGCCGGGCTAATATAGGCTTTACTCTATATTATTTTATATTCCATTAAATCTTACGAAAATTACCAACATGCATATCAGTAACCAAAAAAAAATTACGAGAATATACGTACTGTACGTATATATATGTTTGTGCCTCGAATGTCAAGATCTCTAGACGACCACCAAAACCCGGGTCTGCGCCATAGCCGCAGCGTCTAATTGTTATATTATTTGCCGGCTTAGCAAACTATTGGTGAAATTATACATGCAGGCATGTAATTTTTGTTATATCATGGTAGAACTTACCAGAACTTTCTAACATCGCCTTTTTGTTTATTCATAAATTCATGTGATGATTGATGAGTAAACATTTACAAATACCGATTTAAATATAAATACCACGGTTTTCCACTCCTGCCAATGATCAAATCCACAAATGTATCTTCCCGCTGGTAAAATTCAAAAAACATATGGAGTCGGAATCAGCACGTTACAGTAATGGTCAGATGAAGGAAAGATCAAACATTTGTCCACACCTAATGGCACGGCAAATGATTCTACCTTTTTGAAGACATTTCAAGATTGTTTGGAGACCATTGTGGCAGAATAACATAACACGGGGCATGCTTAAGTCGAAATGCAAACTTACAGCGTAATTAATAAATAGAATATATTTATATAATATAGTATGATAATATGAGATAACATCATGTTGGTATGGTGATAATTTTTTTGATCAGAGAATGTTGCGAAGCGGCATTTTCTGAATTATCAAAAAAATTATCACTGTATCAATGTGATGTATCTCAGAATTATCCCCCTATACTATATTGGTATTATAGTACAGTGGTTATTGATCATAAATTGTACTGTTTATGTTTTTTAAACTTCTTTAATTCATATGATGCAAAATGTATTAGTATGGATGATGTAAACCATACAAAATAACAAGCATGAATGATGTAATAAAAAGGAAGTAATTTTATAACATAAATGGTGTAATACTCATAATTAATAGTGACCATGCTATAAATGTATATATATATATATATATATATAATGTTAGTAGGCACGGTGAATACTTCAAAACAAAACCTTGAACAATGTATCATGTGATTCACATGGTATACATGATGGTCAGTACAGGCCAGATTGTATAGGAATAAATTAGTAATAGAGAAATATGTAATGCATAAATTAGATAAATAATGCACAAATTAGTAAGTTATATATAAATAATATATAATTACTATATATCTTCTAAAATAAGCTACTTTTTTTTAAGAAAAATTATATATAAATATTGCAAATAGCTTATTATTAGGTAAAAGTAATTTTTTATAATTTACAAAAAATTTTATTAAGTAAATCAACCTTTCTTATTAAGTAATAGTTATTCAAAAGATCAAAAAATATAAATTTTAAAAATTTTATGTAATTTGAAGAACTTTTTATTAATTGATTTTTGATTTTTGTGTTTAATGAATATAAATTTTAAAGAAATTTTTAAATTTTTATTGAATATAATATGCAAAAACATATAAAAAGGTATTCAATTTAGATAAAACCTTTAAAATATATGTATTTTAATCTCTTAAACAACTTTCACTTAATTAGATAGGTTGATTTATTTAGTAAAATTTTGACTTTACTATATAGCAATAATTATTGATTATTGAGATAACTTATTTTTAGAACAAAGTCATTTTTTATGTTTTTACTTCAAGAAAAAGAGGGTAGCTTCTTTTGGAGGTAGCTTATTTTCAAAAATATATAGTAGTAGTAAATTTTAAAAAGTTAAAATATTGTGATCAAAAAATGATATATTTCTTATATTGATAAGTAATTTTTGGAAAAATGAATATTTGTTTTAAATCTTTTTGATTGTATTATCTTATATCTAATTTAAAACCTGATTTATAGTATAGAAGAGCTATATTACTAATCTTGTACATATTTTTAGTATACTAATCAAAGCAAATATAAATATAATAAAGAAAAAAAAGATAATAATTTAACAAATATTTTTTATAAAAAAAATAATAATATATTTTAAATATAATATTAAGTTAGGGGCGTGGCAATATAGTAAAGTGGTCAAGTTGTTACTTCTTCAAGTAGCAGATCAAGAGTTTGAATCCCACTGGTAACGAAAATTTGAAAATATTGCCTATATTACAGTTAACTGTATTCAGTCAATCAGTTGAAATAGGATATCTGTAATTATAGTTGTACTAGCAAGACTAGAAGGTTTGAAGTATTCATGCAACAGGCTGTGTTAATCCAAAGAACTGCAAATATAGAAGTCTGCTTGGCAAGTCCTGAGTAGAAAATAGCTTTAATGAAGCTATTATAAAGATTAGACCCAGGAAACAGAATCTATGTGAACTGAACTAAATAAAATATAAAGTATTTGGGTGCATCCAAATCAACCAGACTGCTGCAAATAGAAAAAAGAACTGAAAGCCTAGGAGGGCTGTGATGCATATAGCAGAGGAGCAAGGTAAAAGACTACTAGATTTAAGAGTATCTACCTAGACACAAAGGAAAAGTGTATAATTACCAAGCTATCTAGCTTGGAAGTTTGAGAACCAGAGTTGGGGTTCTTGCTATTAGATAAATAGAAATTGCCAATACCAACTAAACTGTTGTCGAATTAAAGAAAAATAAATAATACATACTAGGCTATCTAAATTAGAAATCTGAATAAAGAGAGCTAGATTACTAAAGTATTAAAAATATATTATGAAGTAAGTTCTGAGGTTTGAGTAAACTCTATAAAGTCAAAAGTAAGTTTGAGTAGCAGAGTTTAGCCAAACTAGAATTAAATTATAGAAAGGAAACAAGAAAAAAGTTAAGTTGAAGAAAAAAAACTATAAGCAAAGATCTTGACCTGGTACTATATACATTTCTAGAATAAGTAAAACTGAGCCACAAGTAGTAGACTATAGTCTATATGTACCAAACTAAAGCACAGACTAGATGCAGTATAAAGTAGAAATACTGTAGACTCTGCCAGGTTTATCTCAAGAATAAAGTAGTCCTAAATTAATATGCGATATGTATACCAGGGAGACTAGTTTCTAGAACTAGAAAAATAGTACCAATTGATATAAGCTTCAAAATATATAAGTACAAAAAGTTTAAATAGGTAATCTTCTAGTTGGATTGCAGATATAGCAAATAGTGTAAAATTTAAAAATAGGCAAACTACTTAAATAAGTATTCAAAAGATACAGGTATGACTAAATATACTCTCCAAATATGTATAATAATTTTTTTATACAATAAAAGCACAATACAACAACAGATCAAAACAGCAAGAAATATAGAAAACCAAACAGCAAAAAACTAATACATAAAGAACTGTATCAAACG